CAAAACACCCACACCACCGGGCTACAGTGGCACTCAACCACCACACCATTTTTTTCACGCTCTGGCCCAATCCATATTTAATTATTTTAATACAAAGTGCAACACCTTCACAAGGAATGGTTGAGACAATCCAGCTGTGGTTGGCTGTGCACCTGGGGTGTGGGAAGCCCAGGTTTGAGGTGCTGCTCACAAACCAGCATTTGTTGGTGGCCTTCCTCAAAGTGTGGCTAGTTACTGGAGGTCTGGCAGCGCTTGCTGTGGAAAGTCAAATGCACCATCTATTTTGTACTGGGCCAAAAAAGCTTTGCAGAGACATTCCTAGCTTGAGAATCCTGGCAGCTCTGGTACTAAGGCCATAGGCAGTTTTCAGCAGAAACCCAAGATAGGAACTTGAACCTGATACTCATACAGCTCAGCTGACTGCTTAGACCACAGGGCTACAGTAATCTACTGAGATTGGCTGTCTGGCCCCACCCATAGTTAACTATGGCTACACAGTGGAGCAGCTTCAGCAGAAGAGATTGAGAGCCCTTAGCTAGGAAAGACTCTCTAGCATGTTGGTTAAGGCCCATACACAGGCTGTGGGAAAACCAAGTTCAAGTCTATGCTCAGAAGGATACGGTGGGGGGCTTGTCCCTAACTAGGCAGGTTGGAGTGTAAGTGTGACAGAAGTGCTGTGCACTAAAACATTTTTAATAACCTGCAACTCTATTTTAGGCACAGCAGACCCCCTTGGAGAACACAGCCCACGTTTCAGCCACTCAGCACCCAAGGGGGCACACAGCCACCAACATAGGAAGGATTAGAGCCTGCTTCACTGACCCCCCAGGCAAACACCCCCACCAGGGGGCTAGAAAGGCACTCAAGCAGCTCTCCCTTTGTTCTCTCTCTAGCCCAGTGCATAGTTATTAGTTAAAAATATGAAGTGGAACAGCTTCAACAGGAGAGATGGAGGGCCCCTACCTGTGGGTTCCACTGAAGCGGTGTGGTTAAGCTATGCACCCAAGGAGGGGAGAAGATCCAGTTTTGAGGCTGTGATTTGATGGTGGTGTTGCTAGATCACAGAATCATAGGACTGGAAGGGACCTCAAGAGGTCATCTAGTCCAGTCCCCTGCACTCGTGGCAAGACTAAGTATTATCTAGACCACCCCTGACAGGTGTTTGTCCAACCTGCTCTTAAAAATCCCCAATGATGGAGATTCACAACCTCCCTAGGAAATTTATTCCAGTGCTTAACCCCCGACAATTAGGAAGTTTTTCCCAATGCCCAGCCTAAACCGCCCTTGCTGCAATTTAAGCCCATTGCTTCTTGTCCTATCCTCAGAGGTTAAGAGGAACAATTTTTCTCCCTCCTCCTTGTAACAACCTTTTATGTACTTGAAAACTGTTATCATGTCCCCTCTCAGTCTTCTCTTCTCCAGACTAAGCAAACCCAATTTTTTCAATCTTCCCTCCTAGGTTATGTTTTCTAGACCTTTAATCATTTTTGTTGCTCTTCTCTGGACTTTCTCCAATTTGTCCACATCTTTCCTGAAATGTGGCACCCAGAACTGGACACAATACTCCAGCTGAGGCCTAATCAGCGCAGAGTAGAGCGTAAGAATTACTTCTCATGTCCTGCTTACAATACTCCTGCTAATACATCCCAGACTGATGTTTGGTTTTTTTGCAACAGTGTTACACTGTTGACTCATATTTAGCTTGTGATCCACTATGAGCCCCAGATCCCCTTCCACAGAACTCCTTCGTAGGCAGTCATTTCCCATTTTGTATGTGTGCAACTGATTGTTCCCTCCTAAGTGGAGTACTTTGCGTTTGTCCTTATTGAATTTCATCCTATTTACTTCAGACCATTTCTCCAATTTGTCCAGATCATTTTGAATTTTAATCCTATCCTCCAAAGCACTTGCAACCCCTCCCAGCTTGGTATCGTCCGCAAACTTTATAAGTGTACTCTCTATGCCAGGGGTGGCCAACCGGAGCCTGAGAAGGAGCCAGAATTTACCAATGTACATTGCCAAAGAGCCACAGTAATATGTCAGCAGCCCCCCATCAGCTTCTGCCCCCCACCCCGCTTCCAGCGCCTCCCGCCCACCGGCAGCCCTGCCGGTCAGCGCCTCCCCCTCCCTCCAGATCAGCTGTTTCGTGGCGTGCAGGAGACTCTGGAGGGGAGCGAGGGCGCGCGGCAGGCTCAGGGGAGGGGGCGGGAAAGGGTGGAGTAGGGGCAGGGCCTGTGGCAGAGCCAGGGGTTGAGCACCCCCTGGCACATTGGAAAGTTGGCGCCTGTAGCTCCAGCCCTGGAGGTGGGGCCTATACAAGGAGCCACATATTAACGTCTGAAAGGCCACATGTGGCTCCGGAGCCACAAGTTGGCCACCCCTGATCTATGCCATTATCTAAATCATTGATGAAGATATTGAACAGAACCGGACCCAGAACCAATCCCTGCGGGACCCCACTCATTATGCCCTTCCAGCATGACTGTGAACCACTGATAACTACTCTCAGGAACAATTTTCCAACCAGATATGCAACCACCTTTAGTAGCTCCATCTAGGTTGTATTTTCCTAGTTTGTTTATGAGAAGATCATGTGAGACAGTATCAAAAGCCTTAGTAAAGTCAAGATATACCACATCTACCGCTTCACCCCATCCACAAGGCTTGTTACCCTGTCAAAGCAAGCTATCAGGTTGGTCTGACATGATTTGTTCTAGACAAATCCATGCTGACTGTTATTTATCACCTTATCTTCTTCTAGGTGCTTGCAAATTGATTTCTTAATTATTTGCTTCATTCTCTTTCTGGGGACAGAAGTTAAGCTGACTTAGGGTACATCTATACTTACCTCCGGGTCCGGCGGTAAGCAATCGATCTTCTGGGATCGATTTAACACGTCTTGTCTAGATGCGATAAATCGATCCCGGATCGATCCCAGAAGTGCTCGCCGTCGACGCCGGTACTCCTGCTCCGCGAGGAGTACGCGGAGTCAACGGGGAAGCCTGCCTGCCGCGTGTGGACCCGCGGTAAGTTCGAACTAAGATAGTTCGACTTCAGCTATGTGAATAACGTAGCTGAAGTTGCGTATTTTAGTTCAAAGTGGGGGGTTAGTGTGGACCAGGCCTTAGATGAGCATCCCAGCCTCTGGAAAGGGTGGTGCTGCCTGCTGGAAAAAGTCTAAGGTGACAGAAAAAGCTCTGCACACACATACTGAGTCTGAGAGCACCGCCAGGGGTCCAGCACCAAGGCCTCCCCAGGCTGCAGGCAACTGTGTGCGCGCACACACACACACACACACACACACACACACACACACACGGCAAGAGAGTCAACTGCTCAGGCTTGCCCACTGGCCCAACACCGTTAACTACGGTTACTAAGTGCAACAGTTTCAACAGAAGAGATGGAGAGGCTCTGCTTAGAAAAGATTCTCTAGTCTGTTGGTTAAGGCCCATGCGTGGGCTGTGATAGAGCCTGGTTCAAATTCCTACTCCCGGAGCAGCGGGCCTACGGTGTGGTTCGAGTGCCCTGGGCTGGCTGGTGGAGCAGCTGAGCCATTGGCCAAAAACGTTTTCAAGACACAACTCTGTCTTGTGCAGGGCACACATGGCCTGACCACACTTACTTACCTAGTCTGAGCAGCTCAATAGGTTTTCAGCTACTCAGCACCATCCCAACACACACAGGGAAGGATTTGAACCTGTTTCCCCAACATCCCAGGTGAACATCCAAACCACCACTACATTGACATCCTCTTTGTAAACCAACCCCCCCCAGGTGTCACTGTCGGCAAACAGAGGCCCTCTGCTGTCCTGTAACTCCCGTCCCACGTCAGTTATTAAAGAGCCACCTTCCACTAAGATCCAGACAGTAGCAGCATTTTATTATCACCATTTGAGACAACACCGGACACACTGGCTCTTGCAGGGTAAGATGCGAGGTTTGTTCTTCCGCGCCCGTTCTCCTGGCAGAAGGCACAGCTGTTTAACACCACTGGTAATTGCAGTGACACCAATCATCCTAGATTTGAACCACAAGTATCGAAGCGCAGGACAGAGCAGGGCACGGGGACAAACAGGCTGAACGGGCCCTACGCCAGCAGTCTGTGGCTGCCCTGACAACGTGAGCTGACGTTGGGAATGCAGCCGGAGTGTCAGCCAGCCGGTGGGCCCGATGAAGGGAGCAGGGTTAACCCTTGCCGAACCAGCCACTAAGTAGCAGGTGGGACGCTGGCTTGACATCCAACTGGGAGAAACATGCCCATTTTGCAATGCACACCCTCCCCCGCCATGTTATAGCACCCATCGTAGACTCTGGTCTGCAGTAGGAGCAGATATTGCCCTGGTTAACCCTCTGCCAGAATAAAACGGGGGTGCTCCCGGCTGCTGCACAAGGCTCAAAGTTCAGTGCTGGCCGCATAGCTCCCCAGCGCTTGGGGGCTGGTGTCCAGCTAGGACGACACTGGGAGTGCGATTCCCAGCTCCCGGAGATATACCCGGGTTGGCTCTCACTGAGCTCCACATTCCCGATGCTAGCGCTGCCAGGGGCCGTCCCAGCCACCCGTGCAAAGCAGAGGTGCCCTCACTTGGACCTACGGGCCCACTGCACAGCCAGGGCCATTGCTTTGGTTCCGCCAGCGTGACCCCTGCTGCTGATGTGATCCCCTTTGTGCTCTTCCCGTATGCCAGGGGCTTATGGCCCCTTTCTGCCAGCAAGGCCAGCATAAAGAAGGTGCGGGGCACGAACGACTCAGGCACTGAGAATGTGGGAGGGAGGGAGTTAGGCTACAGTAGTGCAGCCCCAAGGAAAGTGCAGGGGTTCTACCTTTTCCATCTGCGTCTCCTGCAGACTCGCTACATGTTCTCAGGGAGCCAGGGGAGGCTGTGGGGTACAGCAGTCCCTGGCTGGCGGAAACACTGTGAGGAGACCAGAGAATGTGGCCCCACAGATCTGAGGCAAAAGAAAAAGCTTGTGCAAAACCACACACCTAGCGAAGTATTTGGGGGTCCAGTGGAAGCTGACTGCACAGCGCACCCCACCCCAAACACACCACGCCCTGGGTAGGGCTCAAGGGAGATCCCAGGCCAGATTCGGGGATCTGGTTCTACTGAGCTAAGCAAACGCCAGTTCCGAACGTGCTCCCTTTCTCCCCAAATTCAGGGAAAGTTCACATCTAAACTTAGCAGCTTGGGGCCAGCTGTGCTTTGTAGCGAGTTACGTGCTCTCCTCACTGCCCGAAGAGAGTGCCGGGTGGGGGAGGGGGAGGGAAGAGGTACGTCGGCCATGTCTCCAGGACACCCAGCTGTGGGACAAGGCACCAGGTGAGCAGCCCTATTTGGGAAGAGAAGTTTATTTTTGGCAGCAGGACCATTCTTCACAGTCAGGGGATCTTCACCTCCTCCTTGAGATGCTTAGGCAAACACAACGCTGAGGGGTGGGGGTGGAGGGGTCACTGCCAGCTGCTGTAACCTCTATCATTAAGGCTTGGGACAAAAGGAAGGTCCCCCTTCTTCTCCCATGTGCCTTGGGTTAGCCCATGGCAGGGCCTAGCGGCAGGTTCGCCAGACCCTCTGACCGCAGCCCCTGTGCAGGTCGCCTTGTGTAAGCCCTAAGTGTGCATTCAGAAATAAAGGGGGAGGGGTCTAGAGCCAGCCCCTCGCAGTGTGGGGCACAAGGGGGCTGTGTGGGTGAGGGGCACAGAGTCAGCCCCATCCCCACTTGAGACAGGATTGACCAAGCAGAATTCCCCATCCCCTGTGGAGGATGTGACACCAAACAGCAGCACGGTTTGTTTCGGTAAAGCACGTACCTGCCGGGTCGCCCGGCCCAAGGAACACAGCTCCAATCTTAAGGTGATACTAATCTGCAAGGCAGTCCCGAAATCTTTAAGTCCAGCTGAGCTCATGGCCTTCCTGAATGTCTCATGCTCCAGTCTTGGAACCAAGTGTCTTGCCAGCAGCCAAGTCCTGTCATCATCCCCCGGAACAGCACCATCAGCAAAACCAACGATGGGGCTAAATCCAGAGATGGGATAACTGTGCTCCAGGGGCTTCGTTTAATCTTTGGCTTCCCGGAAAGTCTTCCTTCCCCTTCCCCCTCTCCCTCCAGACTATCTGCCCCCTCCACTAGCCGGTGGCCGACTGAGGTCATGGCAGCAGCCGACCTGTGCAGGAGAAAATTGCTGGGAATCTTGTGGACCTGAAGCAGCCTTGAGACGTCATTTTGGCATCTCCAGAGCTGTCACCACAGACTTTGCCTTGAAGTACTGTTTAAATCTTAGCCTTGCATACCTGCGGGGAGACAGAGATCGAGATCTTACACAAGAGAGTGGGAACACCTGACTGCCTCCACCCTGTCGGCGCTGCAGGGATTTCCCCTCACCTCGTTTCGAGGGGGAAGCCCACGGCCTTGCTTACTCACGTCTGCTACAAGGAAGGAGAGGGGTGATTTAGGGTGTGGAATAATCTCCCCAAGGAGGAACTGGTGGCATCCTGATTGCTTGAGCTGTTTAAAACTAGACCAGGTGGGGAAGGAGGTAGGTGGGATTTGAGAGAGATGGCCTGCCTTTATTCTAGGAATTTCTGGTCCAAACTCTGCAGGAGATAACAGATCAAGGGGCAGCCCCGTCTTCCTGGGGCTCACTGCGTTCTCCTGTGCTGCAGCAGAACGCTGATACACTGGGTGTCCATAACACCGTGGCAATCTGGGGCTGGGCTACGTATCGGAAGAGCCTGCTGCAGCTCGGGCTAACAGAGGTGTGTCTTTTAGCCCAGGCTGGAGCAGCACTCCTGTTAGGATCCACGGGTCCCAGCGTCGATCCTGGCCGTGTTATACATCCCATCGCACTGCACCACCCCACGTGCTCTGCCCGGGTGCTGCCATGACCCATGGATCCAACGAGGACCTCAGCGCTGATCAGCCTGGGCACGGAAATAACATGGCCGCCTGCTCGTGCTATGGCAAAGGGGAAGCCCTTACCCACCACCAGCCCTGCCGCAGGGGCCCACTCACCTGAAGAAGTTAAAGTCTATGGTGGAATATTTATCCTGGATCAGGGCCCAGCATGCCCAAAGGAAATGAGAGGCCTGCAACAGAAAGAAGAATCAGGAACCTGCCTACAGCGTCCCATACCACTGTGGGATGATAAAGCCTCAGCTCTCTCAGCACTCGGGGCCAGATCCTCAGCTGGTGTAAGTCCTCTCCACTGGCTTCAGTGAATCTATGCTGATTGGCGGTCAGGTGGGGATCTGGCCCATGAGCTTTTTTGTGCTAATGAACAGTCAGCTCCTGTCTTATTAATTATTATTTGTGTGACGTTTTTATGGAGCAGAATCCCACTGTGCTTGGTGCTGTACAAACACAGCACAAAAAGGCTGACCCCGCCCCAAAGATCTTACAGTCATAAGTAAACTAAATGTTATCCCCTTCCTTGCACGGGGCGGGGGGAACGGGGTGTTACCACTGGATCCCTCAGAGTGGGACAGCCTTGGGTTTGATCCATCCTTGGCTGGCAGCACCTGGGTGATGGCACCTCTAGGTTGATCCCCTGCCACTGCATGTTGGAAATAGCAAGAGCCTTTTCCGTAACGTGTCCACCGTTTCGGAGTTAAAATACAGGCGACTAGCTCCACAAGCCCTTGGCTTCCTTATCACAACGGATAGGTCTGAAGTTGTTTACAGCCTGGCTCCCAGCTAAGGTAAATTCCCTTCCAGCTGTTCGGTTCAAAGGTTGCTGTAGCAGCTCCAACAGGGTCAATGCTCTCTCTGGAGATTTTATGTAAGTAACCTTGGCAAAGTCAGATTTCCTTGTATTCCAGGGCGCAGCTGGCCTTGTCCCAGGTTCAGGCCAACAGGTCACTGGAGTCCTTGCTCACCTGTTATCACCCCATCGACCTACAATCAAAGCGTATCGCTCTTTATTTTGGCCTCCTTCTCTCATGGAAGATGGGGACACATCTCTTCTCCAGCTTATGAGCAGGTGGCCACCTGTGCAGAACTTCTTCCTTGCTTGATCTCTCCCAGTCTTGCTGCCACAGAGGACAGAAACTCTGGTCCTCGGAAACTATAGGCCAGAACATTTCTCAGCTGGTGTAAATCAGTGCAGCTCCACTGACTTCACCCGTTTGTACTTGCTGAGAATCTAAATTTCCAGGGTTCCACATGCACCGTACATTCTGCAATGCTGATCCTGCCCCACATGCTTGGCTGACAGCCAGTTTTCTTGGATTCTTGCTGTCCAGAGGGGGTGCACAAGATAATGGCTAACATGGCACCATCTGTCCATCAGCCAGGCAACCTGAGACCACCCAGTCAGATGCGTCATTAAGCCTATGCTCACCAAGGATCATATTTTCAGAAGAGCTCAAAGCCAGATTTTCAAGTGCTCAGCACCCAGCAGCTCCCATTGTGACCCTTATGGCAGGTTATTTCAGAGAAGCCCCGCCCCCAATGTGCAGTTCTCTCTCAAAAACCTGGCCACTTATTTTGGTGTCTAAATGGGTACTTAGCTCTTTCAGAAATCTGGCTCAGAGTGACTCAGAGTCTTGGATCCCATGTAAGCTCTGCTACTCCTGGGATAGTTCCTCAAGCAGGGCAGGGGGAAGAGAGAAAGCCACCCCCTGCCTGGCCTGATTTCCCTCACTGCCCCTCCTCAGTGGCAGGAGAAGAGCTGTAATTCAACCCAGAGCCTGATCATGGCTTCTGGGGGCCCTGCTCTTTCTCGCAACTCTGCAAACCATAAAGCAGGCCCCCAGGCTCGGTTCACGGTCCAGTGTTGCCAACTCCTGTGGTTTTAACAGCACTCTTGTGATAGTTGGTGGGTTTCTTAAAACCCCATCAAGAGACTGCATGGGAATCTCAGCTTTCACTTGAGAGAGAGAGAGAGAGAGAGAGAGAGAGAGTGAGCGAGCGAGCGTGTGTGAGAGAGAGAGAGAGAACGAACTTTCTAGCCTCCTGGTTGCAGAGAAAAACGTGAAAAGGTGACCTGAGCGTCAAAGCCATTCTCATGATTTTTGGAGTGCTTGAGGCTGGCGATGCTGTTAACCCCTGAACAATGGGTACCTACAAGGTGTAAATGCTACACAAGGTGGAAGGCAGTGAAGAACCATGATGGCTGGGGGGGGGAAAAGCGATCAGGGAAGGGACTCTGGCTGCTCCATCCAGTGCTCTCTCCCACTGACCACTCTGCTCAGAGTCAGTTGTGGCATTAGTTCTGGATTCGTGAGGAAGTAAGTGGCGCTCAGAGCTCTTGGCCATCTGACTCCTAGAGAGGATCTGCCTTATTATCAGAGGAACTTAACAACATGAAGGACTTCCAGGTAGGTGGGCAGACTCTGCTGATGTACATAGGACCAGGTCTCTAATTGCTCTGAACACACCACTGGGCCTAGATCTTCAAAAAAAAAAAAAAAAAAAACCAAAAATCGCCGTGTGCCCAACCTGCTGAGCTCTTTAGCAAGATCTGATCCATCGCGTCTGTTCCCGCTCTGCCTCCACAGCAGTTCCCTTCCCTCCGCTGGAGAACTTTAATTCTGGGGCTTCTTGCATCCCCCTCTAGAGAATCTGGTGCTGGCCATGGACCATTAATCTAGTCAGGTATGGTAATTCCTATGTTCCTTTCACGAACAGTGGTGCTCCAGAACCATTATGCCCGAGTTGGTTCACTCCTGGGCCTGGGACTGCAGCAATGTTAAACACAGGGTGGACACATAGGCACAGTGAAGAATTTCAGTGTCTTTGAGCCACTGGACCAGATCCTATTTCCTCTCCCTGTCCACTCCCGTAACTGGATCCCAGAGTGCATTTCAGGGCTGATTAACTCTCCCACCAAAGAGCCCTGGGACTTGCCTGTCAGAGAAGAACACGCTCCAGTGGATGGTAAATCTCTCTCTTCTATTCCCCAACAATCTCTTCTCCCATGGGTTCAGTGTATTCGGAACCCCTGCCCCAGCGTGCGTCACCTTCTCAGTTCTGCCTCCTCCCACCACCCCGCTGGGCGCCCACTCACTAAAGCAAACTGGTTCGCTTGCACGTAGAGGGTCTCCAGCTCCTTGTCAGAGACGACTCCCCCTCCGTTTCCCTGGTTCTCCCGGCTCAGTTGCTTGTAGGCTTGCAGGTAGTGCCTCAGCCACTGCAGCTGAGTGTCTCTGCTGGGATATAGGCTGTAATCCACCTCGTTCACCCCTGCAAACAGAAGCTAGCAATTAGGAAGACTGGAGGTGGGAGAGCAGAACAAGGCAGCTCCTCTAGGCTCTCCCAGGGCATGAGCCACAGCCCATTGAAGTCAATGGGAATCTTTCAGTTACCGTTGGATCAGCCCCTGGGAGACAAACGCTATGTAAGTCATGGGCCGTTCTAGTGGAAGACGAGTTATTGCCCCAGAGCTAGGGATGGGATGCAAGTACACTGATCCTATCTACTTGTTACAAGATCCTGTTAGCAAATGGGTCCTATCCTTCCCTCTCTGGCGCTGGGATTTTGGCCCTGAAGCTACAATCTAAATGTGATTTCCCTCTGAAAGACACTTGAGCTGATTCCTAATCTTCCCTGCACTCCATGTGAATTTTACTCCTAGAAGTTCTTCGGAGGCTTTAAAATAATTTGGAATGATCTCTGAGAAAGGCCACTGAATTAGGAAACAACAGGGTGCCATGATACATACCAAAACCCTTTTCCCCCTAGATCTAGTCCGGCCCAAACCCCTTTTCCCCCTAGATCTAGTCCGGCCCATGAGCACCCTATCATGCACGAGCCTGGATTTGATCTCTTTTACTGTTTGCTCTCAGCAGTGACGTGCAGAAGGGGACTTAAAAGTTTCAGTGCAGGTTTGCGCTTCAGGCTGCAATAATCCTGCTTAAGTCTTCAAGGTAAAAATTATTTGTACATCTACAACTCCTTTTGTCTTCAAAGTGCAAGGAGTAACTTCCTGTAGGCTCCTTTGGAGAGGAACATGGCAGCTATTCAACCGCGCGCAGGAACGCTGCTCAGAAGTTTAGGGCTGGGAGAGAAGCCAACTGAGACCACATTGGGAAATCGGGTACACAGAACAGAATGACCCAAACTCTCTGTTATTGCCATGGCAACTTTAATGCCCACAAGCGGCCAGGATCTCAGTTTTAGATCTCATTTGAAAGGTGCTGGCAACTCCACCAGCACAATCCCCCCAGACATGGCTCTTGGCTCAGTAGTCACTTGAAGGGAGAAGTACCAAATACTGAATCACCCACAAAACTTCCTCCAAATCCTCTTAGAGGTTTCCCCTCCCAGTGCTGACCTGGTCCAACCCTGGTTAGCTTGTGAGAGCTGAAGGCTACACAGCACAAGCTGAAACGGATACCGACAGGCATAAATATAACCTGCACTTGGGGCTAAACATGGGGAGAGGAAGGAATGTTTCCTACAGTTACTTACATTAATGAAATATCCTGATCAGTTACCCTGTAAGTAAACACGGCCATAGGGAAACATTCCACCAAACTGCGGGCCCAGCTTTCAGGCTAGGGAAAGAAGGGTGGGGGGGGGAGCTTGACTCACCTGCAAATTCATTAAAGTGGTTCCCAATGTCGAAAGCCTGGTAATTGTAACCGGCGTATTCGTAGTCTATGAACCGCACGTGCTCTGTGGAAGGCAAAACAGGGAATGGTTAGAGCAGATGCGTCTGGTTCTTCAAGAGGCCAGCATCCTTGTACCCCTTGGAAGCCACCGTCAGGGGAAGGGACATGTTCGCAAAGCTCGTGTGCACTGGATGGGAACGGAACAAACCTTCGGTCTCGTTGTAGATAATGTTTTTGCACAGCAGGTCGTTATGGCACAGTACGATGGGTGAGCCCAGCTGGGAGAGATATTCCTTCAGCCAGGCAACCTCTTGTTCTAGCACCTCCAGACTGGGCACTTCCTGACGGAACCTAGGGGAGAAGAGGATGTGAGGTCATGTCCACGCACAATAACCTTCTTTTCAAATGTGTGTTTTTTTAAAAAAATAATGCAAAGCTCAATAACATTCAATAACTGGAGGGGGGGGGCAGGTCTCCTAGGGCAGCACAGTCTTGGAGAATCACATCTCACGGGTACTTCGTCCAGCAAAAACCCCTTTGTTCACTGGAAGATCAATGTGGACTAAACACCAGGCTGGGAGCCATGCACTCCCAAGTTCTGATGCTCAGCAGTGGTGAATGGCTTGACAGCCCTGGAGATTGGGATCCTCTACTTAGCCACAGAGCAGGGACAGATCAAGCAGCAGAAGCTTTCCCATGTTATCCTATCAACGTGCCTCCACAGTGATGTGGATGGACTCTCTCTAGGAGGGAAAGGATAATTCTCTCTCTGTGCCCCGTTGACTCTTTAGCCTCTAGGTGGATATTGCTAACAAGTGAGGTCAATTGCACTGGTGGTTATGGTGATGTAGAACCCTGTCCCACTGGGAACCAGACCAAGACTCAAACCCATCTCACATATAGGGCACAAAACAGCAACAATCAGATCAATTAAAACAGAGGCAGAAGACTCTCATTGCAATTAGCCTTCGAAGGGTTGATGTGGAATGATGGTCCATTCCCCTGAGCTACCATGGCAATCGAGCTCCCAGGCCCAGAGCCACAAGGACAATGGGAATTTTTCAAGAAACAACAGTGGCATATGTTGTGCTAATGACCTCAAGCAACCTGGTGATACCAAAAAAAGAGCTAGTTAATAATTAAATCCAACTGATCATTTAATGCACTGTGTGCGCCACCTAGGTCATTCACCTTCCCTGTTTATTGGGACTGATAGCATCCAAGTAGGTGGATCCTGACGCAGGTTGAGACTTCTTCTGGATCCACCCACCTGGAATGGACTAAATCTCCCTCAAGGGCCTTGTCTGCACTGGACATTAGATGGACTGGTTTTAAACATGCATTGTCTGGATCACCGAAAAACTGCGTTAGGCCTATAATGGTTTTAAAGCTTCCGTACCTGGTCTAAAACAGCCCCTGGTTTAACCCATATTATCCTGAACTGCGTGTAAAATCCGCCCACGTAATTGGGGTCAATTCCCAGTGTAAGTGGGGCTCAGGTCCCAGCTTAATCCCAGCTGGGGTGATTTTCCTGGGAGTTATTATTACTGCTAGTAACAGTATTACTGCAGCAAATAGGAGTCCTAGTCATGGCCCAGGACCGCACTGTGCTAGGTGCGGTACAGACACAGAACAAAAAGACAGTCCCTGCCCCAGAGAGCTTACAATCTAAGTCGTCTCCACTTTGATCGCTCCAAAGTCTTTGTCTGTGACATAGCGAAGGTCTCTCCAAGGCAACTCAGAGCAAAGGCTGGGCAGCATAATCTGACAGTTAAGTGTTGAAAGAGATCTTTCGTTTCAACCTGGTTCATTCTCCTGTGTGTTCTCGTCTACGCTGGAAAGTCTGCTTGTTGGTGGGCCCAGATACAAAGATTGGCTAATTCATAGGTCAATCTTGTAGAGTAGACAGACCAGAACTATATTTAGACCATGTTTCCCAGTTGTGTTATGGAAGGGCCATAGCATGGTTCAAACATTGTTTGCTCCTTTACATGAAAAATGTCAAACCTTGCTGTAATCGTGTCAGGCTCAAGTGGATTGCAGCTGGTCTGCTGACATATGTCCTGCCCGCGTTATGTCTAGCGCTCAGCAGTTCAGATGTTCACCTTTCTTTCCTTAGCTCATGTGGTTTGCCTTCCCTGCACTTTTGGGATTCAAACAAGCCCCAAAACTCAACCAAAGCCCTCAAAATTTTGTCTTGGGTCAGAGTTTCAGAGTTGCATGGTTTCAAACCAGAACTTCGCCTCGCTTTGCCCAATCCCTGGACTGGCCTGACTCCCCGTAGCTAAGCTGATAGTTTAGTGACCTCACTGAATCTTTTGACAAACCTGTTGTGAATTTTAGGTTTGTGACAAAACCCAGCAAGGGCTTTGCCTGTTGCCTGGTTTCTTCACTCAATTTTTGCCCAGCTCCAGTTGTGTCACTTACCCTTCCCACAACTGCCTGGCTGCATTGCCTGAGCCCATATGCAGGACTAGAGACGAGCACAATGCAGGTAGCTAGAACTGTGTGGATGCCCTTAGCAGGAGTCTTGTTGCTGGGTTCTCTCTCTCTCTTTACCTGAGGATGGATGCCTTGGTGATAACCTCTGTTTTCACGATGGTAAGGTACTTGTGTAGCTTGTGCCACAGGCTGGGCTTGGGGAGGCTCCCGTTGGCGTGAATTGCGTGCATTTTGGCCATTTCCCAGGCTATCAACCTAGAACAAATCACAGGTGCGGCGATAATAGGTGGCTACACTTAGAGATTCTGCCAATGGGAAATGCTCAGCTCCCTCTGTTGACCACACCCCAGGGACATCAAGTTGGGCACCCACAAAATCAGAGTCCACTGTTAAAAATTCAGGCTGGAAGCGTCTAAATTCACTCTCCGTTTTAGCGGTGTGACTTCCAAATGCTCCAACGTACCGTCTCAAAAATCTCCAAACTCACTGGGCCAAATTCTCTGCTGGTGTAAGTCTCTGGAGCAACGGCAATTTCAGCTTTGCCAACCTCAAGGATTCAAAAATCATGAGATTTTTTTTTTTTAAATCTTGTGATTTTCAAGCCAAATTTTTGTTGTTGTTTGTTCCTTTGATTTGCTCTCTGGTTTCTGAGCCCTCAGGTTGCAATTGCATCATGTTTTCAAGCCCTTCTCAACAACCCTGAGGGTTACAAGTTACTTCTTTTTAAATGAAAGCGGAGATTCTGATGTGATCACTTGATTCCAGCAGCTGGGGCTTCAATCAGTACACCCAAAACTGCGAGACTTGTGAGAAAACCAGGAGAGTTGGCAATACTGCTGGCATTTTACACTAGCAGGGAATCTGTTTGGCAACTGCGGTTACCAGAGAATGCTGCTGTCCTGGTTCCATCTAGGCAAATGGTACGGGAGACTTCAGGGGAACAGCCTCTGTGGGGCTGGCAATGGCTATGCATACCACCCATCCGCCAGACGAAAGGCCACTCTGCAAGAGAAAGGCAACGCCCACCCCCCTGCCAGCAGCTGCCTCTGGTAGCTGGGAGAAGGAACGTCCTATGCTGCCTCCCACCCAAGTTCCTGCTAGCAGCCCAATATGGGGCGTTGCAGAGCACGGGAGGTGTCAGGAGCCCATTCCCCGATCTGGCGTGGCTTCTTCCAAACGTCACTCCCTGCACGCAGCACCCTAAGACTGATAGCAGAATCAGGCCCATAGCAATCTGTCCAAGTGCCTTTCCCCTCCCAAGGCAGGACCACAGAGGAAGGAAACGTTGCACAAACTCCCCAACACACACACCTGAAGATCTGTGGCTGCTGCACATGCTCAGGTCCCAGCGCTGTCCCCTGCATGAACTCGTAACACAAGCCGTTTTGGAAGGTGCAGTAGAGGTTGGGGGCGCAGCCGTGGGCTCGCAGCACCTGGAAATTCTTCAGCTCATTTTCCCGGTCCACAAAGAGCTCCGTCTTCCTGCCGTAGACCCGCACCAGGACCGCGTCTGCCATCCCCTCGTCCATATAGCAGGCCATGAGCTTGTTGGTGATGCCGTCGGTGAAGAGCTGGAGAGGGAGGGACAGAGGGAGAGGGTTAGGGCGTGGCATGGGGAAAAGGGGCCATTAACAAGTGTGTGCCCAGGGGAATGCCCAGTGGAGAGGGGAAAAAGAGACACTAATGTATAATCCTAACAGCCCCGAGTGTAAAAAAAAAGGTTGGCGCAGGAGTCTGTCCATGGTACTTATCTGGCCGCCATGACTGTAACATGTGAGTGGCTCACACTCCAATGTATTTGACCGAGGGAGGCAGTGGGGTCTAGTGGACAGAACACTCCACCTGCCTTCAAGTCCCAGCTCAATACCCAGCCTGCTTGAGTAAGGAACTGCCCAGTTCTCCCATCTGTGAAAAGGGGCTAATGAAACCGATCTCCATGGGAAAGTGCTCCGAGATCTGATGAAACGCACTATATAAAAGCTAGGCATTATTATCATCATCCTCACAGCACCCTGGCGAGGCAGGGCAGGGCTATTATTCCCATTGTACAGATGGGCAACTGAGGCCCAGAGAGCTAAGGGACTTGCCCAAGGTCACACGGGGCTCTGTGGTGAAGCAGAAAATCGAGTCCCAAGCAAACACCCTAACCATCCTTCCTCTCTTTGCCACCGTCGCCAGTCCAAACGCTGATTAGTGAACAGCGCAGACACTTGAAATGGAGTCCTAGCCAGGTCACCAGCCTTTGGCTGAGGATGGATGTTGTGACTCAGGGCACACGGGCTGAGGCTGTTAAATGCGCAGCATGGAGCAATATTAATTTGAACCGTGTCCGAGGTGCACTAGACACTTTACAAGGACAGATTGCAAGTTACCGGGTCTGATTCTCCCCCGCCTTGCAACCTGGGTCATTGCTGGGGCCGTTCTGTTTTATGCCCTCTGGGCGGTGCTTGTGAATGAATGCATGCACCTGTGCACGGTCCCTGCCAAAAGAGGCTGCAGTAAGATGGGGTGGAGGGAACAGATAACAGGAATGGGAGAGGGTGAGGAAAGAAGGGGTCTCAGCAGCACCCCCACTGCATGGAACCACATGGTTTAGTTAAGAGCTTGGTTATGTCAGCTGGGGCTCTCTCTGGAGACCTTTCTTGTCGGTTCACCTCAGGAGACGCATCAGTCACGGACAACATAAGTTTGGGAGGTCTCGACAGCATCCCAACATGGGCCTGTCTTGCACTCCTCATATGGCCCAGGCTTATAATTGGAGCTGGGTGATTTAACAGCAAAGCACGACACTGGGTTAAGTTACAAACCTGGGACTCGATCCCAGTTCAGTGGGGCGCTCAGCAGGGTTTCAAACCTACGGATGGGCCTGTGATAAGTTCTCAGTTAGCTGGAGGCGCTGATGAAGGAACCGGGCACAGCTGGGTGTTTTGGGCTGTTTTCCGGCTGGCGACTCAAGAGAGCTAAAAGAACCGTTCCACCTTTAAGTGGTTGAGGGCTGCGGCACAGGCTTCTGTAGGTTCTGAGCTGCTCCATGGGCAGAATCTCTGAATTGGCACAGCGCGTCAGGCACAAAACACAGCGAGGAGCAAATGAAACAAACCAACCAACCCACCCCAGGGGGCTGAGCAGCGCTGAGATCACTGACGGCGATGTCTCTGCTGGGGATGCCTCTGTCACTACTCTGATGGCGCCTCACAGATGGAAAGAGGGTTTTGTTCGGACTTCTCCTTAACTTGGCTGGGTGCCCGAATACACGGAGTCTTCTCCCCCTCCCCCGTCCTCTCCAACTCCATGACCCCTCTTCCTGCTGATCTCTCCCTCTCTGCTCCCGTCTATGCTCTCTCCTGGGAAGCAGAGGAAACGCACAGAGGCGTGGTTTGATAGGGAAGGCAGGCAATTCCAGATGGTCTGGGGATGGCGAGAAATATTGGCTTGATTCCGCTCTCACTCACGCTGGGGTAAATCAGGAGTAACTCCGCTGAAGTCAGTGGAGCGAATGGAGTCAACGAGATGGGGGCAAAGCGGAACCCTTAGAATAATGCTGTTTCCAAGGGGCACTTTTCTCCTCTTCCATTTTTTAAAAGTTGGGGGAATTTGATGCTTGTGGGGAAGTGGGGGGCTGCTAGCTCCGGCTGCAAGCAAATGCTGGGCAAGGCGCCCCCACAAAGGCAATCCTTGCAATCCACCGAACCATCCGGCTCTGGGAAATGCAGGATTGGATCCTTGGGCCTTTCAGAAGGCAGATCTGGTGCTGCCTGGGGCCAGGCCTGGGCGTGCAATGGGATGGGCAGAGTAATATTGCAGCAGTATCTGTGACACAGTGTGCTGATGAGGCCGTGGCACTCAGGGTGCAATCTGATGGTGCCTGCTTTGCCTGGGTGGGCAGCGCCCAGCATTATGGCCTGATGCACAGGGGAGGGACACCACGCGCAAAGCCGGCATTGCTCAGGCTACGCACGGTTGCAGAAGCGTCAGCACCAAGGGCACAGCCTGGTGCCGTACCGCCCAATCTGATGCTACTCTTGTGCCCAAGGCTTTGTCCAGGACACGATCTGAAGCGTTAGTAGCTTCGCTATAGGTGACAATATGCTTCTCCCCTATAAGTAAAAAGGAAACTGATTTGATCTTCTCATGCCAGAGAGAAGTAAATACCATAAGACTCATATCTCCTTAAAGTCTTCGCCCTCAGCCTCTCCCTGTCCTCCTCTTTTCAGATCTAATGGGCCAAATCCTCAGCTGGTATAAACCGGCATAGTTCCATCAACATCACTGGAACTATCCAGATTTACACCAGCTAAAGATCGGCTCCACTGAAACTACCCCCCTGCAGATGGAATAGAATAGCCCCAGGTTACGTGAGGACGAGAACAGGAATTTCCTATGGACAGGTCCCACTCCCCCAGCAGTTCTAGCTCAGCAGCCCCCGCCACTTTGGCAAACTGAACTCTGCCTCAGTTCTTCTCCATTTTCGGATCTAAAGTCCATTCAGATCTTTCCTGTGGGTGCGAATTGGACTGTTGGTATTGATCCTCCTTGCATTCCATGACATTCATTTCAACACTGCTGATGACCTGCGTACACAGCATCTCACACCTCCTCCAGCTTCCAGGAACAAGGACAGCTGCTCAGGAGACCACCTGAGACGTTCCCAGAAGCGTCAACTGCAGAGTGAACATTTACCAGCAGCGTCACATCCCCCCCATCCTCCCAGCCTGGAATGGCCAAATACCCCGCTGCGTCCATTGCCGCCTGTGGAACATGGGGATGAGTGGGGGCTGGTATTTCTGCCACAGGGTATAGGAGGGGAGTGGAAGCCAGGGCTTTATTGTGGCAATAATCCTAGAAATGATTAGGCGAGAGCCCCAGGAGTTAGTGCTCTTTGCATTTAGATCTTGATCGTGCTTTTGATGCACAGCCCCGAGCAGGGGGCAGCACAAAGTCACGTCACCCCGTGGTTGCATGGAGGGGGACCATGCTGCACAGAGCTTAATCCCGTCCTGGGACCCTGAGGAACAATGCGAATAGCATTATCCTGTAGGGCCGTGGTTCTCAACCCGGGGAGCCTGACTATGGCTAAGGGGTCTATGAATGACAGACTGAAAACGGACTGAACAGAACTCAGCTATATATGAAATCAATAGATTTCCAAAGGGGTCCGCATCTCCATTGAAAAGTTTTTAGTGGTCTGCAAATGAAAAAAGGGGACTAGGGGCTCTATCTAGTGTGCCTGACCCGCTGCATGGGCTCATGAAGGGGGAATAGGACCACGGCCCCTCCACCTCCTTTAGGATGGACAGGCATGTGCAGAGCTTCCCCGAGCACAAGGGCTGCAACTGTCTTAGGCCCTGTGTGTGAACTGCTCCAGAATGGGGAACGTTCTCTGCACACATGCAGGGATCAGGGACAATCTGACTCCATGGGTGCCCAGCCACTACCTTATTCCCTCTTGCTTCATCCCCTCTCACAGCAGCATAGGAATTGTTGCCCTACATCCGACCATTCATGCACACAAATTTATAGATCCTTCCAAACCACTAACTCCACTGTTCCCATCCACCACCTACCACTTAACTTACCCAACCATGCATTCCGTGTCCACCTGCCCCTATGTCTGCCTGCCCCCATCACACAACACCCCCAGACACTACATCCACCTGTACCAATCTGCCTGTTCTCACACTCATCACCCTGTACACAGATCCCTGCCCTGACACACGTACATTCCTGCCTATTCAGACATTCTCACAGCCATTCTTCACCCCAAAGTGCTCTTGGGCATCTCCGGTCTCTTTCATTGGATGGTAGGTGCATAAGTATTTAAGCAGGGGCATTTCTTTGTCGCCAACACAGCCTTAAAGATACTAGAATGCAGAGCATAGAGCTCCAACCTGCTGCAGTCCAGACAGGTCTTCAGCGCTGGATGTATTGCTCAGGCTCTCCTCATCACACCTAAGGTGAGAGAGAAGCAGGCACCCCTCCCACAGTATGCTATCAAGCTTGCTTACAATGCCCTGAAGCTCTCTAGCATAGAATCATAGGACTGGAAGGGGCCTTGAGAGGTCATCTAGTCCAGTCCCTGCAGGGAGATGCTTTCTGCTTAGTGGCAGAACTAGAGGATGTGCTGGTTGTGGGGCCAGATCCTTGGAGACCACTGCAGTTGGGCGTAACCTAGAGCAACCTGTAGGCTCCTTTTACTTGTACTGGGGGGCTGAACAGTCTTCAGCTGACCCCAGAACTGTGTGTGTGGGCATTCGCGGGGAGGGGGGGGGGGGAGGAGTTACAGCCACCTTTGCCCAGCTCTCCTGGGTCCTACACCGAGCAGACCTTGGCCACTCCAGAGGACTTAGCCTCTTATATCTGCAGTGTTGCACAACACCTAACAGCCTGGCACTGACACTATGGAACCAAAAGTCAGTGATGCTGATATGCACCAGCTAAGGATCTGCTTCAATTCTCTCTTTAATAAAAAAAATTGTTTTTCTGAAAATAAATAATAAATACCTCCCTCCCCCCAGTATTAACATGTTAAAAAAAAAAATCAAACATAAAATAACATCAGCTGGAGCTAAGATTTAAGGCACGCCGGCCCTCCCCTTTATGCTTCCACAAGTAAGAGCTGCTGTTCAACACAATATCAAGGCATGGATACAAGAGGGCTGACAAGAGTCTTATTATTATGAATTCTTTGTATTATAGGTAGCACTTAGAGAGCTCAGCTGAGAGCTCAAGGTGCTGTACAAACACACGACACACAGTCCCTCCCTGAAGAGATCACAGCCTTAACTCAAGATTCTCCTGCCTATTAGCAGCTGCCCTGGGACAAATATTTTGACGCAGCTTCTTGTATTTAAATGACTCTGGGCTATTAATATATTATTAAGGATGCTCCGGGCACACTGGAAATAAGTGCACACGCTTGTATGAATACTCTATTACATCGATACTATACTAGTACTGTACCCTCACTGCACAGCTACAGAACAGTTTCATGCAGGGATCTCAAAGTACTTTACAAATATTGATGAGCTAAGCTAGGCAATCTGTCATAACTATCATTTGACAGATGGGGAAACTGAGGCAGCAAAGCCAATCAGTGGCAGAACCAGGAACAGATTCTTGGAGTCCTAGTGCCTGATCTCTGGCTCTAACAATTAGACGCCTCTGCCTCGGGAGAACCAGTATTCATAGATCATAGACTCATAGGACCTCGAGAAGTCACCTAGTCCAGTCCCCTGCACTCATGGCTGGACTAGGTATTCTCTAGACCATCCCTGACAGGTGTCTGTCTAACCTGCTCTTAAAAATCTCCAACGCGCAACAGGCATTTTAGAGTTCTGCGTGTAACAGGAATCCGCTCAGTCACCGCTCAATTCTTTGCAGCCACTCTAGCGCCTCCGGGAAGGACAGGGGTGCTGAGAAAACATGCCCGGTAACATCGCTAAGTACCCCCGTTAGGGAGGAAAGACCTGGAGCAGGTCATTCAGTGCAACATTGTCCCGTACAGGGCATTTTCTAGCCCCACAGCCCAGGGCGAATTTGCAACGCCCCGGGGTGCTGGGGAAGGCTGTTGCACATAACAGATCTCACCATAACAAACGGTTTCCCTTCTGCCTGGCTTCGAGAGAGCCATGGAAACCGGGCTGGAAGGGAGCTGCGGAAGGCAAGAAGTCCAGCCCACCCCGGGCTGTGGCAGCACCGAGTAAACCCAGCCCTGCCCCTCGCCCCCCGGAGTGCTGCGCCCCAGGGTGATACACACGCAGCCCCGGGGTGCTGCGCCTCAGGGTGACACACACGCAACCCCCCGGGGAGCAGCGCCCCAGGGTGACACACACGCAGCCCCCCGGGGAGCGGCGCCCCAGGGTGACACTCGCTCCCGTACCTTGGTTTTCACTCGCTCCGTCTCCCACTGCGGTCTCAGCTCCCGGATCAGCTGCAGCGCGCCCGGCCGGACGTTGTTTTCATCCACGGCGATGCCCAGGCAGCGCACGGCCGGGTAGCCCCGGCGGCCGTGCAGCCCGGCGGCGGCCGAGACCTTCTCCTCCATGGCCCACGTGCAGTGCGGGCAGAGCCGCAGCCTCGCCCGGGCCAGTGCGGGAGGCGGGGAGGGGGCACCGGCGACTCCACCCCCGCTAGCCGCGGAGCGCCGGGGCAGCGGCCCATGGGCAGGGGCTGGAGAGGGGCTGGGCAGGGAGGAGCCGCCGCCGCCGCCGCGAACCCATGAGTCAGCCCCGCCGCCTCCCCTCCGTGCCCAGCCCGGCGGCGCTCGGGCCTGCCACCATTGTGATGTCACGGGGATCACCCAGCGCCAGGGCGCCGCCATCCTGCCCCCGGGGGGGCCCCGCGCCTCGCCCTGCGCCCGGGAGCGGCTCGGCCGGGGATGAGCTCGCCTGCTCCGCCCCCAGCACGCGTCCCGCGGGCCCTGCGCAGCTGCGCTCCAGCTGGTCACGGTGCGCTAGGGCTGGGCACTGGCTGAGCCTGGCGGGAGCCCCCCAAGGCCGCGCTGCTGCTGCAGGCCGGGGGCGGAGTGTGGGGCAGCCCGTGGCAGGGGGAAGACGGGGGACTAGAGACTCAAAGAGGGGTCTGGGCTCACAGGCGTAGCCCTGGGGATTCAGTGCTGGGGCTGGACACCGGCTCAGCCCCTCGCCAATATTTAGGCATTAACTCCCGTCCCCCCGGGGCTTGTTGTTCAGTACTAGTGTGCAGCCTCTTGCAGAGCCAGGGCGAGCTTTGGAAAGGTCACAGCCCCAACCTGCACCCCTCCAGCCTTCTTCTGGGCCCTGCCTGTGGGGCAGGCACTGTGTCAATGAAATCAAGAGGTCTTAGGAACACTAACTGTTAGTACCTTTGAAGATTCAAGGCAGGGAAGGTGACACCTCGCTGCTATTTAGGGATTAGTCTCCTTTGCCCTCTGCTGCCTATTGGTGTGGTCCAGATAGGCCTGATTATCACGGGAAAGTTCGGTCATGGAGCAAAATAGCCTTCTCCAAAGCACTCAGACATTGGAGCCAGATAAATGGGACACAGTCAGTCAGGAAAGTCACTTTACCCTCAGGATCCCGAGTCCCCTCCACCAGCCTATAAATAGAAGGAGATCTGTCACTTTAATAGGACGGTCATAATTGCTCCAGCCACTGCGCTAGGCTGAGTTTGGCCTAATTGCCTTGTCCGTTGCAATCAGAAGTGTGAATGCTCATCAGTTGCAAGTCCCCAGTGGCTCACAGCCAGTGCTCTCCGCCTGTTGCACAGAGTGGTAGCCAGGAAATGGGCCTGTCAATTACTGAGGCCTAAGGCGCTGCTGGGGCTGTTTCATTACCAGGGCTCAGAAGGACTTTGTTTAAATGGGAATGCTGTTTTAGGGGAGACATTTGAATCTACTGCCCTATATCCCCTTTAAGTAACGTTAATAGATTACAGCTGTGAGCTATAGCCAGCAACAGCCATGGAGCCTAGGTATGAAGCTTCTTAGCTGAGGTTGGAATACACCAGTGACGGATAGAGGAGGCAGATCAGTCATTTATTGAGTATATTGGGCCTGCTTCTCCACGCTCCAGCTCAGGAGTAACTCCACTGAAGTCCTCCCCTCTCCCCTGGCATGGCCCCTAGAGCAAGGGCCTTGGGGACTGGTGTAGGGCTGGCCAAGCTGGGGGGGCTGGGGGGAAGCTAGATGCTGTCCAGCACCTCTGTGCCTCCCGAATGATGCAAAGAAGTGAGAATGCGGCTCAGGAGCTGGCCTGGGGCCTGTCCGTTAAAAACCCCACCCCACCCTTTACTAGGAAGTGACTCTGCAGCCCATCCCAAACACACTCCAGCCCTAGGACCTGGCTTTATTAAGCGTTGACATAAGCATAACACACACCTTAGTACACACCACTGCACTTAACACAGGAGCCCACCAGCGTGAGGCAACGGAGTGGGAGGTACCCCTGTACCATGCAGGTACCTATCCTTTGGGAGATGCGAGCTTTTCCATGCAAATCTACTGAGCTGTAAACCACATCTGCTGCTGGGTCCCTGTGCTCTCAGGAGTTAAGCTGGCCCTTAGCACCACCCCCCTTTGCTCCTCAGGAGTTACCTGATCCTACTCCCTACCCTCCCTTGCTGCTGCACGGAGGCTGCTATTTAATGAAAGCAGCCGTGCGAATTGAATGCCAAGAACTATCATTAAACCAGAGAAGCGTCTTTCTCTTGGACTTAGTTGGAGCCTGAAAGTTGGAGATCACAATCAGGGAGAACTAGCCCACGTCCCAACTATGTACCTAAACACTGCTGATAATTCAGTGAGCAGCTGATGAGGGGGACACAGTGCACAGACTAGGATTAGGAGCTTCCAGTAGATGTTTGCACTTGTCACTCAGCCCGGGTGTGTCTTGGCTCCGCTCCAAGCTCAGACTTCTTTCCTGAAACACACAAATGTTGCTCTGTAGTCGTCCATATGGTTGAGTGGAGGGAGATATTAAAAGGACACCTTCCCTTTGTCTCTTCTGGGGAGACTGAAGTGAGGCTTCTTTGGACATGCACCATAGAGACATTCCCCCTCCGAATGTTAGTGTTAAAACCCAAACAAACATGTCCAGAGGATACAACCAGGGCTCCTAAAAAGACCTAAAGCACCTCTCTGTAAGCAACTGGTAGGTAAAGGCTGTTACCTGTGGTTATTTTTTTAGAAAATGTATTGCCGTTTTAGACACAGCACAACTAACTGCAAAGCTCTTTACAAACATTCTACAGACCTCCTACAAGCGTTGGCTCCTGAAAAGCAAAACCAGATATTTAAGCCCAGACTTTCACACCCACTGTCTATGTTCTTCTGCGGTGCCCATCACCAGAGTATTGAAGCGTAAATTCATGTGAGACCCCTCTGAGGTACGGAAGCAGGATCCTCTTTTAACAAATGGAGAATTGAGGCACAGATCAGTTTGCGGAATTTCACCTCCCACATAGACGTTTTGGTGCTGTTATTTGTATGGCCGGACGATGTAGAAGCCCAAGTCATGGACCAGGCCCTTATGGTGCTAGGTGCTGTACAAACACAGAAACCAAGAGACAGATTGCCTCAGAGGGTTTACAATCTAAGAAGTAACTAATCTTTCGTACCTACCTGGGTATTGCTAACTCTATAGTTGTGAATGAAAGCATGCTGCTTTGCAACAAAAACGAATACAAACAAGCTGATAAAAGCTAGCGAGCGTGTATGGCTAAACGTCTTGACCCAATTATTTAAACTGATACTGTCTGTAAACATAACAGCAATATGAAGTCAGAGAAAACAGGCAGCATGAATTTAAGACTTTAACCTTGGGCAATCACTAGTTTTGTTTATATACATACATGCACATGCACTTATGTAGCGACCGTCATCTTTGTCATCACTCGGGACCGAACCGGGGACCTCCCGAGTTAATATACTGGCCTCAAAAGAGCTACAGGCACAGGCCGGGCTCAGCTCCCTGGGAAGAGCCAGACCTTCAGACCTATAGAGGGTATTGTTTAACACTGTCTGCATGTCCATGCTGTGAAAGGAAGATAAGTGAGGGCCTCTTTGAAGTGCTCCAGGGTCAAGCTGGGGGGGAAGCACAGATGTACTGTATGCTGCTGCTGCTGCCCCCACACAGATGGCTTGGGCCTTAGGGGAGTCTGGACCCCCTTCTCCAGTGCTGGAGGCAATGTGGGGAGGGAGGGAGCTCAGGTCTCCCTTCCCCTGTTGGGGGAGCAGTGCAGGGAAGGGGAACCCCAGAGCTCACTTCCGCTGCTGAGCAGAGCCATCATGGGGAGGAATTGTGACCCCTACACACACATACACACCATGCTGCCACCTCCCCCACCACTTTCTCCTCATATAGCCCCCTACTCTATCTCCCCATCTTCTGATTCCCCCCCCCCCCACTGCTCCAACTCCTCACCCTGACCTCATTACCTCCTGCTCTCCTAACTCTCTCACCCATTCCTTGGACGCTCCCCCACGCTCCTCAAGACTTGCCCTTGGAGTCTTCTGGAGCGGGGGCAAGGCTGGGTCACCCCCACCTTTGTACTTCAGGAGGGGGCCACTGCTCCCAATCCAGAGGGAAGCCTTTTGGGGGGCATAGGAGCCTGGAGCTCCAGGCCAGCCCTCCACAGGCTGAGTCGGGGGAAGCCCTGCCCTCCAGTAGA